TGTCATAAAAAGCCCAATTACTATAATTTTATGTACATATAGAGTTAAACCTGCCACGTGGCTTCAGCCAGAACTCATTTTACTACCTGCAAACCTCAGTGGAGAAGATACAGTTTAACATCAGCCTTATGTGCTATACTGGAGTCAATTAAAAGACTACCTGGCTTGCATTGCTAAACTATTGTTTAAATTACTCTTGCAAATATCTACCACCCTAAAATTGCAAGTACAGTTATTTTATTCTATAGACTATGAGTGTAGTAAGACATAAGCAGTCCAAAATCTGACAGACTGATATTCCCATTAATGTCAATATCCATCCCTTTATTTGAAAACCCCTGCAGGACATCCTAACAAAGGCTACAAACGTTTGTCTATGCTGGGTACTCTTTTACTTTTCGTCTGCTTCTACAAAATGCTCAGGTCTGCTCAGCACCAGCATAACCACTAATTTAAGACTAGGCATCCACATGGTTATATTATGATTTAGTTCTGCTCTTTTCAAATAAGACATGCTAAAAATTAGCTATGTCTTTTAACATCACATTCTAAACCATTAATACATATTTTTAAACAAAACTTTCTCAACAGATACCAATATGGTCCATAAAACAACAGAAAAACCAACTCGATGGGAAGCAGCATGATTTTTGCAGTGATAGAAATGATTAATCTCAGTGTCATTGTTAACAATGTGGTCTGTCATTCCTCAGAGTTCAGCTGTGTTGTGAGTCAGTAGGAAACTAGTACAGGATTGTGCCATCAGGTTAGAGCCTTCAGGCCTCCCTGACTTGGAAACGAGGGAGTGGGAAGCATCTTGCAGGAAAACCAGAAATGTCCTTTCTTTCCCAGCTACTACTGACTTAAAGAAATTTTACCAAAGGATGCAGTAATCCCAATGGAAACAGCTAAAAGTTTAAGTTCTGATGTACAGAGAAGTTAAAAGCACTATCTTTCTTAAAACAGCATTGTTAAATATAAGCACTGGTGTCCATTGAAAGGACAGGAGGCAATGGGCACAAATTGAGATGCACAAAATTCCATCTAACGATAGGAAAACACATTTTTATCATGAGGGTAAGACACTGGAATGGTTGCACAGAGAAGTTGTGGATTCTTCATCTTTGGAAGTATTCAAAACCTGACGAGACATGGCCCTGAGCAACCTGCTCTAGGTGATCCTGCTCTGAGTAAAGGGTTGGACCAAATGATCTGAAGAGGAGCCTTCCAGCATCTATAACTGTTACCCCAGTGCAGTGACCCACCATGCATGTTCACAATATTAAACCCCTGCATTAAATTTATATCGTTTGCATAACACAAGGTGTTTATTACTTGGGGCAAAGAATCACCTTCCTTCTTTTGGGAATTGTGCTCCTACGGCACAAATGCATACAGAGAGGGTATAACTTGCAGCCAGTCTCAGGTCATTAATAAACCAGAAGGGCAATAATTTTCTTCTGAGAAAAAAAAAAAAAAAAACCAGGCTGTTCTTTAAATAACAACTCGAGCTTCAGGAAAACAAAAAGTTAAAGTTTTCAAAGAAACTCAACCTTCAAGACAAACACACTGCTAAACAAGGAAATACAACATACAAGTGAAAAGGTTGGACCTCTGAGCAACAGCTACAATTAGGTCAAGCTGTCCTATGCACTCAGTAACACAGCCAGTATGTCAGTCAGATTTCTGTTCAAATTACAAAGGCTTTTGTTTGAAGAAATTACAGTATTACTGAAAGGGCATTAAAGTGGCTCTGACAAGCCTGGACATGCTGGATTTACACAAACATCTCCATGTTGATACATGTTATATTTTGCTATTATGGGCACAGGGGATTCCTTGATGAAAGCAAACATTTTTTACTCTATGGCACATCCTGAAATAGTCCACTGATTATGGCACAGTTATCAAGTACTGATAATCAATAAAAGCTAAGTTAACGTAATTTAAACATTTTCTTGGTGTCTAATAACACAAAATGGACTACAGAAGATTATCAAGTCTGACTGAAACTATGGTCCTATTGCAACAGCACTTAAAATGTTCTGATGAAGTTAGATTTCTATCCTAGGCAGTGCACTACAACTAAGACAGCTAGACTGTAAGTTTGATACCGTTTAATCTTCCCACTTTCTCTGGTTTTCAGTCAGCAGCAACCTCTGTCTGACACTCGCATTTCCAGCCACTCACAGAGGTTTCTTAGTGTTACAAACAAAAGAAGGAATAAATAGTGGAAGAACTGTCATTAGCACTATCGTCCCACAGCAAAAGGTCCTGCTGTCACTGCCAATGTCTGCAGAAGATTAACCCGGTCTCAGGGCAACACTGGCCTCAGGTGGACTAGAGACCATATGAGAAGGGAATGGTCTATGAATAGCAGCCGTTGACACAACTGAGAGATTTGGTTCCTACATGCAAGAAGTAATAGCCCTCAAGTATTTCACAATTCTTGTTATATATTACTCTGTGACCTTCCATTTTATAGGGTGACTTTTGTTATCTAGATAATTAAAGATAACAAAGCTGGATCTGCACTCCATGGAGTTAGTGCTTTATTGCCTCGATACCAGAAAGAAAAACAAAAATCCAAAAATGAAATGTCATCAGTTTCGCAAGGAATAAAACACTGTCACAGGAGTTCAGGTCGGCCACCCACACAGAGGCATCCAGGGCCCTGCCCGTCAGGCCTCCAGCTCCTGCTGAGGAAGATCACAGCATGGACCACCTCAAAGCCTCATGTCTCATCTCCCAGCCAGGCAGGGATGTCTTGAAGCTCAAGGACATCTCAAAGGCACCAGGCACTTATGTTTCAGCAAGTGAATGGAGTCCAAAGTTTGTGCTTCTCTCTAGACTAGCTGATAAGCCCCTTTATGGGATACTCAACTACTCTGCACAACAGAAGCAAGGAAAAGGACTTCCTCAATCCTTCTCCATCACAGTTCTTTTCAAAATACCCCTCTTCTCACTATTCAGAAATTCAGATTAACCTCATCATCTCGCCTTGAATGGGAGCATCTGCATACATTTTCTTTTTTCATGCACAGAAAGAGAGGACACCATTATTTTGAAACAAGAATGTGGAAGAATAAGGAATAGAGAGAGATTATTTTAAAGCCAAAATACAACACTCATGTAGCTAACACCATGAAGTTGCTAATAAACAAAATGTACTCAATTGCTGCAACTTTTATAGCACGTATGCAGGGCTACAAGTAGAGATATGAACTAGAACCAACACCATAGATATTACTTTGTCCATATAATTAACATGTTTTTAGCAATGACCATGATCCAGTCACAGAAATAGGACAGCTGCCACTTCAAAGAGTCATACAGCGGAAGTTCTATGAAGATAAGGTAACAGGGCAAGTGCCCTCACATACGGTGCTCCCAGCCCACTTCGACAGAAATCAGTAGAAAACCCCTTGTGGCAGTACACGTGGACCCAGAACGATTCACGACCCAGCAATTAGTAGTTATTCCCTCTCCTGAAGGATATACACCTTTTTACAAGAGTAGCTACAGTTATACTGACCTTCAAGAGAAATGGCTGAAGTTTTGTGGTTTGCCTCGTGCAGAATAAGACTAAGTAACCTGATAGCCATTGCTGGTCGGTTGTTGGTTTTTTAATTTAATTTATCAATAAGCTAAATGCAAAAATTAGAAAGGCAATCACAAAAGATTGTCACGTAGAGAAGGGAGACAAAGGGGGAACAGAATCCACTTTTCATCGACAGAAAGACATGACATAAAGGGAAAAGATTTAATATTTGAATTATAACTTTTTTAACACATTCAAAAGACTCTCAGGATTCTGTTGACACTTTATGGGAGTGCTCTCCTTTATCCTACAAGCAAATGTAGTATAACTTTTTAACTAACTCAGTTTTCCAAGAAATCCAAGATTTACAACAGAAACCAAATGAAATATTAGGAGAATCCACCAAGCCATTTGAGCTTCCCTAGCTCATACAAGATAATCAGCATCTCACACTAACACAAAGGTTATAGTATGTTCTTGCTTAAATAAACCAAATTAACCAAATAAAGACATTGCTGAAAACACTTCCCACTATGTGTGGTAACAAAATCTCTTATTCTCTGTTCAAAGCACCTGTGGAACTGAGGAACGGATTCTTATATTCTTATTTATGTTGAAAAGTGACAAACTTTACAAGACTTCTGTTGAAGTAACAGAATATTACACTCATGGTGTACGGTGCTATTGAAGGGAAACAAGAACTTGAAAATTTATATTTTATGTACTTAAAAAGGAGGAACTGTCAGGTCTGTGTTGCAGCCTAATAAATACTGAAAATTGTTGAATACAAGACATTTCATGAAGGGAAGTATAACGTTTATTTAAGAACACAGGTGTTTATGGTTTAGAAATTTAAGTAACACCTTACAAGGTTAAAGAAAGTGTGAAAGTCCCCTCAGTAACTTATACCTAACTTGAAATTAATGAAAAATAGACATTAAAATTGTCACAGAAATACATTAATCTAACTATTGAAAGAAATAAAAGAAAGATCTCTTTCAGGGATAAGCATTTGTGGAAATTTTATTGTCATTATTTAAACTATTTATTTAGTTTTCTTCATTTCATTAGTAACTGTTACTTTCGAGCTATTGGCTACTAGACAGATAGTGAGACACAGGGATAGCTGAACTAGCTTAACTAAACCAGTTGAAGCAGTAGTAGTCTAGCTGTAACAGCAGGGAGATTTTACAGAATAAATGAATTGCAGCAACAATCAGAATACTTTCACCATACTCATACTTCCACTCAGAGTGAAGAAATTCCAGGCCTCTCCACACAACACAAATCTTCTCTTTCTGTGCATTACGATGTAAATGAATGGATTGGCCCCCTGCAGCACCCTGACAGCCAAGTTGGGAACAAAACAGTGGGTAGCTGTATTTTACTGATTTGGAGAACGCATACATTGATTTGGGCTTTAAAAATAGTGTATTCTACAGACCACTCAAGCTCTTACCTTTACAAACACACAAATCTCACAATCTTCCTGAAAGTTGTCAGTTTCTCCGAAGTTATTGTTAAGGGGGAACTTGAGGGAAGTTAAAGAGTTGGAAGAAGTGCTCTGGCTCCGACGCAACTGGAAATACGGAGGAAAATGCATGTTGCTCTCAAACATTATGCCCTCTACATGTTTATCTTCCAGAGTTGGGCTCACTATATCCACCTCCTGGTATGGGTGGTCTTCAGCACCATGGTGAGATGAAGAGGAACCATCTTCCCCATCAGCCCCATGCTGAGAGGCCACAGAATTACTACAGCTATCTTCTGAGCTCTCTTGACTACTATCCATGCTCTCTGGGATAGTAGTGATGGAAGAAAGGGATGGTGGATCTTCACGAGCACGATCATAAAGATTACACCCCTTGTCTTCCTCAGAGTCTGGAATCTCGTAGATATTGGTGGTGTTAACATTTTGATAAACATTGGTAAAGACCTGATCTTCCATGACTGCTGGCTGGTGAGTTTTGCCTGCCTTCTGGTATCTTAAAAGAATACAATTAAAGTGAGATGTTGACAGACAAACGCTCTTTAGGAAGAAGGAGAGTCTGTGGTATGCTTTCTGAATGCTCTGCTACACATGGCAGATCTCCAACAATCATTTACTGAGAGCTTTAAATCAACAACTACGCTTCCACTGAAATAAAAGATAAGGCTGTCTCACTTTTAACCCCTTTGTCGATCTGACTGCTGGTAACTATATCCTAGGAGCTGTAATCACTTGTTGTTCTTCCAGATATAGCCTGGCCAAGTATAGTGAAAAACAGCTGAAGCACCTATCAGTACTAGAAAGCTATTGTAAAAAATACATATTCTTTCACAGGAAGTCAAACACGAGAGTTAGAAATGAGGTAGAAATGCAGACTTCATCCATTCACTCATATTTTCAACACACAAAAGCCTAGTTTCAAAGAAAAGCAAGATAAAACTGACTTAACGATACAGGCAATAATCTGCAATTTTTCAGTGGTTACTTTCAACAACATCAACAAATGATGATAATTTATAAAAAGCTACAAATAAAAAAAAAAATTATAAAGTGGTATATCCATGAGAAAAAGGTATCAAACTTGAACTTCTTCCAGCTTTGCCACTGGTTCACTTTAGGACATTAGACCGTTCACATCTAGTGACTTCATCCTCTTGTATAAACTAGGGCCAAAACTAAAACGTCTTGTGAGCTGCCCTGGAATATATAAAAATAAAGCACTAAATAAGCATTAACTATTATTATGTATCCTTAATATATCAATTCCCTATAATCACATTTAGCTTATATATCTCTCTGTCATAAAACATAGACCCAAGTTTCCAAAGTTGTATTAATGCCACTTGACTTTAGCAATCTAGTTAGCCACCTTGTCTATACAGTTCTTTTTCTCTAAAGAATGGAGACACACAAAACTCCACAGAATCCAAAGCAAAATAATATTTCCAGCTTTACCATAAAATGAAGTGCCCTCTTAATGACAGATACACATTCCAGAGCATCTGAAATCAACAGAGCTGAAACTCATTAAAAATCCAAATCTGAATTTATCAAAGTTATGAGAATTTCAGAACTTATTGACTAATGACGCTTTATCTAGATGTTCACTGCATCTGGATTATGTAGATAGATTATTATGAGAATTCTTAGAATCTAATTATAATTAACCTTTTGGGTTTGAGCTAAAAGGAAAAATAAAGGTGTTTTCCTCATGAACCATCCTTGTAACTTCCTGAAAAGTAACTGCCACAGCCAGGTTGGATTTCTAAAAGGAACACAGAAGAGAGGTTAGAGAGAAAGATTGTCATTCCAGCCATCTCCAAACAGAACAATCAGGGGAACACATGCTGTTTCACATGACAGAGTAGCAGGTGCTGCCTACCTGAGATTTATGATTGTAGTTTACAGTCATTATTCTTATACTAAACATTTTAGACTACTAATAAAATCAAATATCAAAAGCAAACCAATACTTCAGCTTTTTAAACTTGGATTCACCTTCTAAGGTTCCTAGGTAACCCCAAATGTCCCAAAATCATGGTCACAACCAAATTTGATCACTGTAACAGTAAGGAAAACACACTACAGCAGAATTTCAATTCCCTACATGGAACCAGAAATACAGTACAAAGACACAGGTTAAGTATCAAAGATCAATGAGATCTCTTCACTCATGAGTGCATTTCTGGCCTGACATAACTCAAGGACTTCAAGGACATGTAACGCATATCAAGGCCTAACTTCAATTACTACTCACAAACTCCTGCCTGGCACAAGTAGTCCATCAGCAAACAGAACAAAGCACATCACCTCTTTACATTTTCTGTATGTAACTCAGCTACAATTCTTCACATGGAAATCCTAAATAAAAGATTCTGAAACATGTGCTGTGTAACCTGTATCGCAAACTTCTAGCATTCAAGACCAGCTATTAGGCTAACAATAAGACTGATTTAAAATTATGAGCTTGAACTACTAAAGCTCAGGAAACTTGGGAAAACCAATAAACCAACTAGAAACACTTATAACTTTAGGATTTTTTATTAATATTTTTTATTTCTAAGAAAACACCCATACATTTTGTAGAAATACAAATGTATTTCTACTTGTGTATGTTCAACTTGCTCTGAGCACGGCCTTGATAAGCAACTCCCACTGATCTTCAACCCTTCTTGCAAGAAGCACTCACAGGATTAAATATGCTGGGATCATAAAAATTCCCTCCTCAGTCACTCTACTGGAAAATAACTTGAGGAAGAAAAGAGAACACAGACACATTCATGATGCAAAACAAAGAGCAAAGTCCAGTTGCACAGTATTAATCAGATGACTGATTTTTTTTTTTTTTTTTTTTTCCCCTCCGCAAAGACATTAGCAGGATGCAGCAGCACCTGCTGGAGGGTATAAAATATCACAGGTAAAATAAGGAATAAGAGCATAACATTTGAGTATTACTTAAAAATAAGTACAGTTGATGTGGATTTCATTAGTCAGAAACGTGAGTTACCTAAGTTATCCTTTCCTCTGACCCTCTCCAGGAGCAAAGTAAAGTTCCATTCAGCTCCAAGATCCAGACTTCACTGTTGTGACAGAGTGATAAAGCCCAAGAATAAACCTGACCACACTTAAGAATTTATCCAGTTGAAAATCAGGTACATTTCAAATCACATCATATGGATCCACTGCTGGTTTACAACCCTTACATTTCATCTTCAGGGAGGACAGAAATAATTTTTGTGCCACAATTCAAGAGTTATGTGATAGCAAATGAGATCAAAACTGAGACGTCCACGTTGTGACCTGGGACACTGGTGTCCTGGCCTGCTCCCTGCGCCCTGTGCTGCTCCCTCCCTATTCCCCAGCCAAAAATGCTCTGCTCCAGCGAAGGAGCAGGGCAGAGCAGCTGTGCACGCATGTATCCAGTGAAATGGGATTTCTTTCCTACACAAGAGTGAGAGGAAAGAGGTTGTATGAGGCTGGGGAGCAGAAAAAGGTCTCAGCACCACTTTGCTCTCCATTCTCCACTGCAAAACAAAGCCCTTTGAGTAATAGTCCCAGTCCTCCCGCCACAAGAATGGAAGATTACAAAAAAGAGAGCTCACCAATTTCATCCATTCCCTAAATTCCTCTGCTCCCAAATCTAGGTGTTGAATTCATGTGGGAGCTGTAATTCCCGTAGTGTCACCATTGCATGTATCATCCATACCCACATGAGCCATCCAATAGCGCTGGTTGCTTGCTTTGCAGAATACAAATAACCACATAAACCACAAGCAGTAAAATTCATATAAGGACAAAGAACATGAGGAATAGAACTCCTTATTTTCAAGGTTTATTTTTTACTTCATGACTGAATTTCTATTTTTACTCTATCTTATCCTTTTTAAAGCAAGAAACACCAGAATTCACATGACCATAACTTCAGTTAGTATGCATAAGACACAAGTTACTGTCAGCCAGTAAGATCCCTTGGGTCTCATTTTCAGAAACTTTGTTTATACTAAGTTTAGCTGTCCATCATTCAGCACCTAGATTATGCAAATCACTGATTCTTTCTACAGTCCAATGGACAGCAATGGGCATCTCAGGGTATGTGATAAAAAGAGGTGGAAAGAATTATGTCAGAAGGAGATTAAGTATATTCTGGAGATGGTCTTTAATAGCACAAAACTCATTCATATGAGCTCCCTAGAATACATGGGGGATTTTGAGCTTAAGGTTGGAATTCACCTACATTTAGAAGCCTACAAATGGACATTAAAACTCATGCTAGGAACCTAGATAATTGCCTGGTTCAGTCTACAGAGCTCAGATCAGTAGCCCAGACACACACAGACATTTATTGGTATTTGTTTGCTTTGCCAACTTCATTTTATCTGAAGGACAGCAAATATAGTAAGAGCCCTGACACACTGAGAACAGTATGTTAAAATCGGACCACTGAAGTCGCTACTGAAAGTTTACCTGTTCACCCTGTAACCCTAACAGAAATCAGCATCTCCAGCTTTTACTTATTTTAAAACGTCAAGCAGAAGACCAGCTTGTAAAGAAATCCCTGCATTGCTAGAGTCAGTTATCCCTCACCTCCAGAGAAAAAGAGAAGGGTGGAAAGAAGGAAGAATAACAATCATGTCAGACCACTAAACAGCATACCTCACATCTCAGAGATTAATAGTTAAAGGCAAAAAGCCACATTACTGTATTTAATACAACAAGAATTTTACCTGGGTGCCTCTTTTTTAAACTTGCACATCTTCTAGACATTCCACAGTATTGGAAACTTCAACTCATCCATCAGTTCCACGTGTAGCTTCAGTAGCTAATACCACTGTTTAGAAATAGTAACCTGTTTCTGCTGGAATTTCTCAGATCATTTCCAATTGGTTATTGCTATGATTTCAGTGCTTTAATTAAGAGTCCTTCAGTTTTATTTGTTCTCCATGAAGATACTTGCACACTTTAAGAGCCTGTAAATCTTTCTTCATAACCTAAACAAATTGAGGTTCTTCAGTTGCTTGCTTTAAAGTGTATTTTTCCTGCCATTAAGAGAAACAAGAAAATTGAATAGTTAAAACAAAACACTTGAGAGTTCTTGGAAGCAGCTGAACCTGAAACTGAACGATGGTAGACAACATTTTTATATGTCAGTAAAAACTGAGGGATCTTAGCACCCCATAGCATCAGGCCCTACATTTGCACTTAAAAGCACTCAATGCAAAAATCATGAATGTTCCTGGCCATTCAGGATGCTGGTTTTACAAAAATAACTTATTTTCCTTGTAAAGCTCAAACATTTCCAAAGCTTTGCAACATGTAATTCAAGTATGCTACGAAAACTACACCGTGGGCTCTGGAAGAAAGACTATGCTTTACAGACATATTACAAGGGAGTTGCAGTAAAATCATAACATTTTGTTTTCACTTCTGACTGCACTAAATACCTGCCTGAAATCAACGAC